TTCCCTTGTTTCCCAGTCAATGCAAGCTAACGTAGTTAATACTGTGAAACAAAAAAATGACTTCCTAATACAACTATTTGTCCCTCGTCAGTTGCTGAAATAAGCATCACTGCTAGGAAAAGAAAATAAGAACATAAATGAAAGGGCACTTACCACATTCAGCAAATTGTAGTGCCTGTTGTCAAAATGCTTATCAAGAAATTTCTCATCATAAAATCTTTTCTTACAATATCCACATTGCCAATCGTTTAATTCTACAAGGCTTTTGTGCTCTTCCTGATCTCTGTACAGGTCATTGCTAGGGTGTAGCTTGCATGTTCTTGGAATCTGATACCGCTCTTTCTCTACAAAGGGCATCAAGTACTGCACCAAATAAGAGAGAGAATGATATTGATATGAGTGAAACCGCTATAAAGATGTAGTAATAGAAGAGTCTGTGTACGATTTTCTTCCATACCTCCTGAATTATTTTCCATGCTGCCCTACTCCTTTCTCTAGAACAATGCACCTCAGGTGGATCTTCCAGCTCTTGCTTCAAAGTTCTATACATCAAATTCTGGTGTTAGTAATAGATACAGCTCTAAAATTTCAAGAAGAGCACAATGATATGCAACACTAACATGCAACAACTTGTGCTACGATTTGCAGGTGTATAATCTTGAGAAATATGAAGGCGAAATCAATTCCCATAAGCAAATTGCCCATCTCAAAAGAACGCTGAGAAATGTAATAAAAATGACTAGCCTAATCATACATGCCCACATAGTTTCAAGTTTCAACATTTAACTATATAGTACCTTGAGGTTGCAGATTCTTGATGACCCTAAAAAATAATATGAAAAGGGTCATATTAAATAAACATAATAATTCTCTGAAGAGATGAGCTCTGGCAAAGCCATGCAAATCAATGAAATTTACCCATTCAAGAATTGGTAGAGATGCAGGTTGGGTTCCTGAGTTCTTGTCTAACCAACAACAGAAAGGCAAGAACAAATTTAAACTAATAAAGATACCTGATTTGTTAGCAGAGGCTGAGGAGATGAAGTTGAAGAAACAATACAAAATTGCAGAGACGCTGATAAGCAGCACAGGAACAGAAGACCAGCCCATTTCATTTTACACCACTTCTTCTTCATTTTCTGCCTCCGCGTCAACCCTCAAAGCTACACACCATTTCGCATCTCCACTGCTCCTCTTTCTCTCTCTGCTCCTGCGACTTCAGAGACGGAGCCCCGCTGCCGCCTCCACGCCCCACTCACCAATCAACAGTTGCCACGTTGAAGCCCAACTTTCTTCTCAAGCCCAACTTAAAACTCGGCGGACAGCATTGTTCCTCAGCCTCTGGGTCGCCATTTTCAACAAGGCCCAACCCAATTACAATATTGAACTATTTTTTAAGGAATAAGAACATAATAATATGAACTCTCGAATCAATTTTTGGTGTTTTTCTTTATAAACTATTTTCTAAGGTTGATTTTTTATATATAAATATAAACAATAATCTAAATTAATCATGATGGCAGATTCGTTACCATAAACAACTTGCTTAACTCACATATGTTTTAGTGTTTTTTTTTTATACAAGCAATATTTTAATTTAATATAATCTAAACTATAAAGAGGAAAATTTGAACTCGGGTATAAAGTGAAGAGTATATTCGCTCTAATCAACTTGGCTAAGCCATGTCTGCTTTCAATAACTTATTTGTTGTTTGGAAATCGGAACAATATGTTGAACATTAATTATGGAATATGATACCACATCTACCATGCATTTGAGTACTAGCTCACTCAGTGCGACGCAATAGCCATTCTGAGGAGTTTATGTTATTATGTCATAATCGTTGCCCCAATCTCCCGATTAAAAAAACGACGTCTCGTTTCGAAAAAGAAAAAGAAAAAGAAAACAATGTATCAGGCAGGCAGTGAAGCTGGAAAATCTAGTAGTAGGCTTGTTTTGTCCGCGTGCGATTGTGAAAGAACAAGTCCATTTCTTGTACACAAATTTCGTATTTCCTCCTAATACATAATTCGATCACACGCACCAACCATCAAATAATTGATCAGTTTCGTTGAATTCAATAATCCATATACCCAGCTATGCTGTGTACAAGCAATTATTAAAATCCCATGTTGCACCAACTTCAGTTACGTGTTCCCGGCCAAGACATAAACAACACCAAAGCTCCGATTTTGACTTTTGAGTGTATCCGTCAAAGTCATGAAATTTAGATCTCTTACCCAATACCCATCTGAAATCTGAGCCCCAATTGAGCTACAATGGCTGGATTCTTGGTTTTGGTGGCGGTGGGCTTGATGGGTCTGTGCATGAATGGTAGTTGGGGGTTGGAAGCGGGTCAGGAGGCTCCGAGGAGGATCCATACCCTGTTCTCGGTGGAGTGTCAGGACTACTTCGACTGGCAGACTGTGGGTCTCATGCGCAGTTACAAGAAGGCCGGGCAACCCGGCCCTATTACCCGACTCCTCAGCTGTACGGATGACGAGAAGAAGAAGTACAAAGGGATGCATTTGGCTCCCACTTTTCAGGTGCCTTCCATGAGCAGGCACCCCAAGACTGGTGACTGGTGAGTGGTTGGAGTGTGCTTTGTTCCTCACCTCTTTCATTTTTGATTGGTTTTCTTCTTAATTTGGTCTCAAATTGGGTTTTGAATTCTGGGTTGCTTTGCAATTCTTGCTTAATTGTTCCTTCTATTTGATGGGTTTGGTTAAGGTGGACGGCATTGGATTTTCTTTGATGCAGAAAAGGGAAAAAAATAATGGTTGAAATGTTTTTTGTTTAATTTTCAGGTACCCTGCTATTAACAAACCAGCTGGAGTTGTGCACTGGCTTAAGCACAGTAAAGAAGCTGAGAATGTTGATTGGGTTGTGATTCTGGATGCGGATATGATCATACGGGGGCCAATCGTTCCTTGGGAACTTGGTGCTGAGAAAGGCAAACCTGTTGCAGCATATTACGGGTATTACGATAACACTTTTTTTCTTTTCATCTAAGTGATACTACATCAAAGCTAAGCCTTCTCCCATGATAAACTTTTTAAAGCGTCTGTTTGGAAAGGATGTTCTTCGTAAGGGTATGTATTAGCTGCAATCAGGTTTTACCATACAAAAGCATTACGAATGCCTTGTGAGTTCACTAATAATAGTTCATAATTGTCGTCAATGTAGCAACCTAAATTAGTTTGAATTAAAAGGGTAGTTAAGTAGAGTATTATGTTTGTACTTGACATGCTTTGGAGGTTGAAGTGAGGTTTTCTTTGTTCTTGATCCATCACTGACATGAGAAGAACATGACCTTGTCAATTTCGGAACTGCAGAGATCTCTTTTCTTGCATTTGCATAATATCTTTGTGAACCTGTTCTTCTGAGGATTTTATGGGCAGTAAATGTATTTTGAACCCATTCTTCAATATTCCTCTTTTTTCGCCCTTATAAGGACTGTGGCTATCAACATACATTGGTATAATGAATTTCTCCTTCAGGTACTTGGTTGGATGTGATAATATTCTGTCTCAACTACACACAAAGCACCCAGACCTCTGTGATAAGGTTGGTGGGCTTTTAGCCATGCATATGGATGATCTTCGAGCATTGGCACCCATGTGGCTTTCGAAAACAGAAGAAGTGCGCGAAGATAGAGCTCACTGGACAACTAATATAACTGGTGACATCTACGGGAAAGGATGGATCAGTGAGATGTATGGATATTCTTTTGGTGCAGCAGAGGTAAGTTTCTTTCTTACTTTCCTTAAAACCTTCTTTTTTCTTCCTTTAGTAATATATATGTCGGATCTTTCACAAATTCCAAATACTTTACCATTTCAGCTTCTTTTGCATAGTGTTTTCTTTTAGTTAATTTGTATTGGATACCTTATTTCTTTTTTCAGGTTGGTCTTCAGCACAAAATAAATGATAACTTAATGATCTACCCAGGCTATACTCCACGAGAGGGTGTTGTGCCTATTCTTTTTCACTATGGCTTGCCATTTAGTGTAGGTAATTGGTCTTTTAGTAAATTAGATCACCATGAAGATGGTATTGTTTATGACTGTGGCCGACTCTTTCCTGAACCTCCGTATCCAAAAGAGGTATGTGATCAGAAATGGCATGTCTATTTTTGTTTGTTAGGCTGATATTTACGTCTTTATCTTAGAAATCTCAAATTTTCTTACATGGAAGATCATGTTCAAGGTCTTCAAATTTAACATTCTTTCTTTGTCCAGGTAAAACTGATGGAATCTGATCCAAATAAAAGGCGAGCTCTTCTTATGAATTTAGAGTGCATTAACACTTTGAATGAGGGTCTTTTACTACAACATGCAGCAAACGGTTGCCCGAAGCCAAAGTGGTCAAAATACTTGAGCTTTCTGAAAAGCAAAACTTTTGCTGAACTGACTCGGCCAAAACAGCTGACTCCTGCTACTTTACAATTTGAGAAGGCAGTACATGTAGTACAGGCAGTACAGCAGCAAGTTGTCGATGAGCCCACGAAGCCACATCCAAAAATCTACACCCTTTTTTCTACAGAATGCACCCCTTACTTTGATTGGCAGACTGTAGGACTTGTCCACAGTTTTCACCTGAGTGGCCAACCTGGAAATATCACACGATTACTCAGCTGTACTGATGAAGATTTGAAGCAATATACCGGCCATGATCTGGCTCCCACCCATTATGTCCCTTCCATGAGCCGACATCCATTAACGGGCGATTGGTAATTCTATTTTCTTCATATCTCTTCTTTCCTTCTTTTAGTTTCTTCTTGGTGGTGATTTGAGGTCAATGTCAGCATTGCCTTTTTTTCTTTGATTTTTTTTGGGGGGTGGGGTTGGAAGGCTTGATGAATCCTCCAAAAAATTTGTGAGCCTGAGTTAACATAAATTGGGAATTCTAATCCCCATCTCCAATGCATAAGAAACAAGTAATGGTCTATCTTTTGTTCTTTCTACCAGGTATCCAGCAATTAACAAACCAGCTGCAGTCCTTCATTGGCTTAATCATGCAAATACTGATGCAGAGTACATAGTGATTCTTGATGCTGATATGATCTTGAGAGGCCCAATTACACCATGGGAATTCAAAGCAGCACGTGGCCGACCAGTTTCAACTCCCTATGAGTAAGACAATATGATGCTTTCAATTTTTATCTTTGGTTTCTCAGGACCCAAAATGTAATTCAGGGTGTGACAGAATATATCGCTATATTTCTGGTGTGCGTGTGTGCACATTTCTAGTTGCATAATCCATACAAGGACTTATTTTTCCTAATTTGTGTATTCTAGCTATCTTATTGGCTGTGACAATGAGCTTGCAAACCTCCATACTCGCCATCCTGAAGCCTGTGACAAGGTTGGGGGTGTTATCATCATGCACATAGATGATCTACGAAAGTTTGCTTTACTATGGTTGCATAAAACAGAGGAAGTCCGGGCGGACACAGCTCACTATGCCACAAATATTACTGGAGATATATATGAATCTGGTTGGATTAGTGAGATGTATGGTTACTCATTCGGGGCAGCAGAGGTAAATTGTTTCTACTGTGTAAAAAAGTGGTCCCTTTTTTATCTTGTAGTTTGTATGCTTTAGGTTTCCATGGGATTTCACGTAAAAAGACCATGCTTTGTGGAGTGTGTACAAATGCTTTAGGTTTCCATCAGCAACATCTTTGGTCTTTTTAAAAATCAAGAATAAATTTGTGGTGATGATTCTGTTCCCCTCTGTTTTTCCATGCAGTTGAAACTAAGGCATCAGATTAGTAGCGAGATACTGATATACCCAGGATATGCTCCTCAACCTGGTATCAGATACAGAGTATTCCACTACGGTTTGGAATACAAGGTTGGAAATTGGAGCTTTGATAAGGCAAACTGGAGGAATGTTGACGTGGTTAATAAGTGCTGGGGCCAGTTTCCAGACCCACCCGACCCTTCAACACTTGATCAGACAGACAAGAACAAACTGCAGACGGATCTGCTTAGCATAGAATGCATAAAGACACTAAATGAAGCACTACGCCTGCATCATGAGAGGAGGAACTGCCCTGATCCCAATTCCTTGTCCAACTCAAACTCCGATGCAGCAGAGGAAGTTGTAGTGTCAAGGAAATTTGGCAAGTTGGATACAAGTCATGTTGTAGGAAGCAACCGTGCGGAAATGAATCATTCTCAGGAAATTTCAGAACCTACTTTGACAGATGGGTTGTTCAGTTCTGTGAGGTTCTGGGTTGTGGCTCTATGGGCATTCTGTGGCTTGGGCTTCTTGACGGTCGCGTCAGTGCTGTTTTCAGGCCGTAGAGGGAAAGGTAAAAGAGGTAAAAGTTATAGAATTAAGAGAAGAAATTCTGGTTCAGGATTCATGGATATTAATGGACGTGATAGGCATTTGCGTGGAGGTGAAGTACTTTTATGACATTGCATTTTATTATTGTGAGGTAAAATTCAAGAAGTTTATCGAAAGATAGATGGAGAAGACCAAGTTTTTGCCTTTGCCATGAGTATACAATACAGTGAAGACCATTATATTTGCAAAGCCAGGCCAAGTTTCACTGCCAAAGGACAAGTCAAACAAAGTGCTTGTCTGAAAGTCAACACTTTTACCAAATGCTAGCTAGGGTTTTATCATTGAAGAGGAAGAGAAAGAGGTGGTCGTGTGGTAATTTTGATTTTGATATCACTTTGTATTCTATTTGTGTTATTTTCCATACCAAATCGTATACGTGCTTACAGTTTGAACTTTGATATACGCTTTTGCTTCCACAGCAGAAGTTTGTCTTCTTTCCGTATTTTATATCTTCTAAATATTTAAATCAAACTGCTTGCTTGTACATTTTGCTGGGCCCTCCTGGTCAAGAACATGTTCCTCTACAGTCTACATCCAAATCCAAGTCAACCTTCATCTTTATCACTTGTGGGCTGGGGAAAATTCCAATTCTAAGGGCCATGCAATCCAAAACCCACCCACAATCTTGTTTGGGCAGATGTTTTATTTCTTCAATTTTGCCAACCATCTAATAAAAAGTTATATTTAATGTGTATTACTTGTATTGGGAATGTTGTAAAAATGCTGGTTCTCTACCCCTACATTCAATTCAATGGCATATTCCTTGTAAATTGTCAAGGTGTAATATGTGTTAGGCTAGTTGATCAGGATAGTGAGTCTGCCTACTTGTATTTAAGTTCGAATCTCCCTCCTTTTAGAGTAATTTAAACTATTATTTGTACTCAAAAAATAAAAAATTAATGCCAACCTACCCTTTGTTTAGCATCCCAATTATCAACAACTTCATAGGTAGCCAAGCCACAAGAGCAAGATAGACTGGTACTGCTGCTAGATTCTGACTCTACACCTACGGAGAGAGAGGGGAGGACACTCCAAATTCAAATTGGCCAAAAATTTGAACGTTGGAGGAAGACCGTTGGTTTCCGCACGTGGGCCCTACGAAAAATTACCAAAGGGCTGAAAAAGGGATTGGATTTGGATTTTAAAATTTGGAGCCGAAGTCCGAAGTCCGGGAGATGGTTATTGGCGTTTTTTAAGGAGACCCCACTTGTCACTCGGCTTTTGCACTCCGAAGTCTCATCTCTATCTCTAGTTTCTATATGCGGCCTGCGGGGGGGGCCAGCAGCAGGCCAACTTTTCCACGACACTTTTCGTTTTGAATTTCAAATTCGAAATCAACGAGGACGACGACCACCATAACGATGTAATCATAAAATCGATAATTGATTCATAAACCAGAGGATAAAGGGTTTTCAAGTTTGGATTTTTCGTAGGTCTCACGACATCAAATTAACCACAACCATGGGAGAATCGACGTGCCTCATGCAACCATTCTCCTATGTTTCAGGCATTCCCAATGAAGCACATGAGGTTAGTTCTTGATATTTGTCTCTGTTTTGCGTTTCCTGTAATTTGTAAGCACAAATTCTATGTTTTCTTCTTCACTTTTCACTTACTGGATAGTTTCTAAAATCTGGGTTTCGAATTTCTGTTACAGGGGAACCCAATTCATGCACTTGGGCATTCAATATCATTTGGGAGGTTCACGTCAGAGTCGTTAGCTTGGGAAAGATGGTCCACATTCTCTCACAACCGCTATGTAGAAGAGGCAGAGAGATACTCCCGCCCTGGCTCTGTTGCACAGAAAAAGGCTTTCTTTGAAGCACATTACAAGAAAGTTGCTGCTCAAAGGGCTGCAGCCTTGCTTGAACAAGCAAATGCTAATGCTGCTGCTGCTGTAGCATCAGACAATGCCCCTGAACCCAAATCTGAAAGCCAAGATCTGAAGACCGTGGTTCCAACCTCTGAAGTGGTCGTCAATGAACAAGTAGAAAAGGAAGAGGAAAAGGTGGTCGAAGAGCCAACTAAAAAAGAAGCAGCTTTCACTGGTAATACCAATGGGTATTCAGACACTGAAATGGACAAACTTGCAAGCAGCAGGGTGCAAGTTGCTGATATACCTGCAACTCATGAACCCCAAGTTTTGGCGGAGAATTCTGCAGAGCCTGAACTTTCAAGCCAAATGCACAATGCTGTTAACGACAAGGAGGAAAATGGTATGGAGCTCAGTGGCACACCCCAGAGTGAAAAACCTCTGTTAAAGGTAACAACATTGAATTATAACCATAGTTTCTATCCTTTTCACACCCGTGGACTTAATCGACCTGCACTTTTTGTTGTTTCAGCAGAGCTACAGCTCAAATCAAGAAGCTTCGACACCCATAAAAAGGAAGAAAACAAGACTCTTTACCTCCTCAAAATCATCATTAGCGTATCATAAAGCACCCAAGGTCCCATCTTCTCCAGCCAAACCCATAGTTTCTAGTTGTTCCAGAAAGGATGATATTCTCACCCCATTGAGAAAGAAGCCGGCAACAGAATTGGAGGACAAGAAAAGATCAACTCCCAAATCACTTCACAAGTCAGTCAGTTTCACACCCATCAGGGAACTTTCCAGATTGACTTCAACAGTCATCAGGAAGATTGAAAATTCAAGAGTTGGTGCTAGTTCTTCCAAGACATCAAAAGATTGCATGACTCCTCTAAGAACTCCAACTACGGTGTGCCTCCCAATTTCTTTGAATTTTTTCTAAAAGTATCTCCAAAGATTTGCAGTTTTTCCAACAGTGATTACTGCTAAAGAGTTTATCTTTGGAACTGCAGGTATCTAAGAATGAGGTGCACAAGCGTTGTACAAAAACCCCATGTTCCGAAAAGAGAAGGTACCTGATTATATAAAACAGAGCAAGCAATCTTCTAAGAAGTTTCAACCTTTATTCTTTTTTCTATTTTTTCATTAATCGATAAATGAATCTTGACTGATTCTGTTTCTGCTCGTGTATTTTATGAATCACAGGGCGAAAACACCACTTGATCCCTCAGCAAGTGGAACCAAAACACCTCTGTCTAGATGGCGCTCACTCCGTACAGAGTATTTGCCTTATCTTTTGACATTTTTCCTGTTTAATCACATGTAGCATCATGAAAGGCTCACAATTTAGCCAGCACATATTTAAAACATTACTGATAAAAATCGCAATCATAACTCCAGAAGAATAATGCAGAGCAACTCAACTTGAATTCTCAAATATTAAACATCTGAATTAATGGATTTACTATGGGTCCCACCTAACCCCATTTCTCTATAAGGGACTTTGAGCTCTTATGTCTTCTTTTTCTTTTTCTTTCCCAATTTGGCCAGTTGTTCAAAGTTTTTGAGTGCCTGCAGAAACAAGGCGCGGTCCCCATTTTCATCTGCCCCTTTCAACTTAAGAACAGAGGAAAGAGCTGCAAGTAGAAAAAAGGCAAGGGTTTGCCTTTTCTCTTCTAAATTGTTCCTAAATATTTCATGAGATAGTTATATATGTGGTTGAAGTACTTATGGACCTCATATTTTCAGAAGCTTGAAGAAAAGTTCAATGCTAATGAGGCACAAAAGGTGCAGGTACAAAGAAAACTCAAGGTTGTTCTCTCCTTACCAAGCTTCTTCAATCCTCTGCCATTTTTGTTTGTACAAACCAAGATATGAAAAACAGAATGCAGCTTAATGGACCTAGGCAGAAAACAGCCATGCACACTACCTTTATCAAACTAATTTTGGTCACCACAACTTGGCTCAATACATGAATCTCTATGGTTTATGCAGGAGAAAGAAGAAATAGAGATTGGAAAATTTCGCCAAACCCTTTGCTTCAAGGCCAGGCCACTTCCTGATTTCTACAAAGAAAGAAAATCACAAAAGAGTGAGATAGACAAGGTATGTTTGTCCAGCTGTGCAGCTATGCTTCTGCGATAACCATAATATGTTAACTCAGTGTTTAATCATTTATTATTATCCTTGATTTCTTTCAACAGGTTCGCGTGGCTCATCCTCTGCCACAGAAGCTAGGGAAAATGTCCACTCTCACTCCAACTCCAAGCGTAGTTGAGGCCTCAACGTCTCTATCTCCTAGAGGAGCTCCAATCAAGAGCAGTGGCACCAAGAATGTCCAGGGAAAGAATAAGCGAACCTCAACTTGTTCTCTCATTTCACGATCCTTAAAGACTACTCGTGAGAATACATCTCCAAACATTCAGCTGGGATAACCCAAGCTTAAGAAGCCAAGTTTCTGTTGGAGCAGAATTTATTGAGAT